CCCCATCAAAATGCATTTGAATGTTAACTACAGAAAAACTAATGACAAAATATTGGTCTTTCAAATATTTTTAGGAAGAAGAAAAGAAAGTCTGATCTATAAGTTTTAAAGTAATGAAATTTGAGCTAACTCCAATGTTTTACAATAATGAATCCATAGGTTTTTTTCACATAGTACTTCAGAGTCAAGTCTCACTGAGTAAATGATAGCACAAAACCGAGACTATCACTTATGAATGTATTGACAGAGACCAGAAAAATTCAACCTGAGAGTTCTATATAAGTTATTAATTTGGGAATTTGGGCATTCAGACAAAAACAATACATTATGTTATTTAGTAGATAGCAATAAAAACTCATCACACCAAGTTGCAGGTGGTTATTTCACTAAATATACTATGCAAACTGGATGGAAAAGAGCCAACAACTCATCTTTATTGTTCAGGCGACTGACCTCCCTTTGGCTCTGCTCTCTGACAGACACCACATGGTGATACTGGAGTGAGTTCTACTGTTTGCTTCAACTGTCAAAAGAGACAGTGATCCACACTGATAGGGCCAGTCGTCCTGTCATATTAAACGTCACTGGGGCACACTGCCTACCTACAGAATGGAGTGAGGGGTTCAGGTGGTGAAAAGTGAGAAAGGTAAGCCAGGGGAACATCACATACGTCAACCTTCAGCAAGATAAAGACTGTGACACACGGTGAAGGGTCATCATTTCACTTAGTTGAGTACTAACTTAGGTCCACACTGACAGGTTAAATAGAACATTTAATACTTTGGATTTGCTCTCATTCCTATGTCCCTATTTTAGTGAACATAGCAGACTGTATACTGAATATTAGGCATAAGAAGTGGCCTCCTGTAGCTAAATGATTGAGAATAAATGGCAACTTTGCTGCAGTCAAGCCTAAAGGTAAGAGCTCTTTGTAAAATTATTCTTCCAATAAATGCAAACACTTCCTATGTCATCGATATCTTCCTGTGATGGTCACTATTAAAACAAACACAGTGATTATCAATTACAAAATTTTAAATATGTGCCCGGTACTGTGCTGTTTTATATGCCCAACAACACAGGATGCACATAGCAATCCTCCAAGGAAGGAGGC